AATTTATATATCTTCGCAAATCAATTTCTGCAAAAAAATGACCTTCAAAATCCCCTCTTAATGTACCCCGGTTTCCTAAGTGGAGTATGATTGAAAGTGTAAAGTGCATTCTAAAGTAATCGCAGACTGGTCAGTATACAGTATTTTTTCCTGTTATTTCTAAGTAGTTTATGATCCAATTCACTTTTTTTGCATTTGAAATGAGTGATTGTAAATACTTACGAGAAGGAGGGAGGTAACGACGTCAAGTTGAAAGTTTGAAAGACCAGCTGTGAAAGTACGGGGACTGTTTATGTATATATACGTATGTATATGTATATATACATATATATGTATATATACATATGTATATGTATATATAAATGTATATATATATGTGTGTGTGTGTGTGTGTGTGTGTGTGTGTGTGTGTGTGTGTGTGTGTGTGTGTGTGTGTGTGTGTGTGTGTGTGTGTGTGTGTGTGTGTGTGCGCCCGCTATAGACATGTATATATGTGTGTGTGTGTATATAATACACGCACATGTATGTATGTATACATACATATATATACAGATACTCGTACACGGGCACACATCAGCACACGCTATTTTAACGTGTATTCAAGCTAGAGAGACTAATCAATTATATAGAAAGTATATAGTACTTCGTAGAAATGATAAAAGAATGGAAATGTAAGAGGTGAGGTTTTTCCTGGAGGTGCATTATATTGTGATAGATGTATATATTTTGTATAAAGAAATGGAAATTTGTTTTTTTTATAATGGTGTTCAACTTGAATTAATTCACAAAGAATCAGAGACTTCGTGCTGACCCAGCCATATTAGCTTCTAAAGTGGTTTGTCATTTACTCTTCAATGCTATTTAGAACAAATTACAGTGTTTCTCGAGTGAGAAAACACAATGTGACGTAATATTTGAGTCTGAAATATTGCAATCTGCGTGCATTTTCTGGTAATTATGGTCGGAGAACTTGGAGGGTGTTGACGGCATTTGAGAGAATCCGTTTCAATTATACTGTATTTTGGGGACACCTGGTGCATATTTTATTACATAATTTTAAATGATTATATATTTTTCTCGGCGCTTGAATTTAATGCGTTGCCGTTTTTTGCTTTGGTGAAAATGTACGAATTATTCATGCTTTTTAATGCTGCATGGATTCATTTTAATTATTGTATAATTTATCCAAAGCAAATCTTTTAAAAGCATTTGGGTATCGACTTTTTCCGAGTTTCATTATGTTGATTATTACTGATGAAGTGTGTTTCACATTATTATCCAGAAGCATCGGTTTTCGAATATAAATTGCTTTTGGGGTTTTACTGTTCAGGAAGACCATAAGAATAGAACAGCTTTAGCACATTTTGTTTTATTTACTTGCAAAATATAACAGTGACTAGGAACAAAAGGAATATTGACATGGATAATCGATGGACTACTGGTATGATGGTTGTGGCTGGTATGATGGTTGTGGTTGGTATGCAGGCTGGGGTTGGTAGTGCTGGGGAGGGAAGGTGATGGCGGGGCCGTACTCGTGGGGGTACTGAGCCTCACCGTAGTAGGTGACCTCAGCCTGGTAGCCGTTGTAGTGGTCAGCCACGTAGTTTACCTATAGAAGAGCAAACGAACAAATGAAACACAAAAAAATAATCGTAGACAAAGATATGAGCATAAAATTATGAAAAGAATTATTCAGTTTGAAACAGTTAAACATATTTTTTTACCGTCTGCTTCCGGCCATCAGGGAGCTGGACGGTATAGGATCCCTTGACCGTCTTGCCGTCGGAGTCTTCGTTGTGGCCGAAGTCGGTGCCGGCGTATTGGTCGTTGATGGCGTAGGCGTAATTATACGGAATGGGATCCTGTGGAAAAAAAGGAACGATCATTAGTGTATTGTCACTTTCTTTACTTATATTTTCACGATACGTATGATGGCCCGTGTGTCACATCGTATACTGACCTCCTTGTATACAAGCTGATGGGGAGGAGGGCCATAGGGGTCCGAGGGAAAGGCCAGGGCAGCTCCCGCCACGGCCATGAATAACGTTACCTTGAAGTATAATGATTAAATTAATAATATAAAAATCAAATTATGTAAACGTTTCTGATGTATGCATTTGTCTATATATCTTTACACACACACACACACACACACATAAATATATATATATATATATATATATATATATATATATATATATATATATATCATGCATTTAAGTACATGTAAATATATACATACATACGGAAGTACATATACGTACATACATAAACACATTCATATGTACGCATGCCTGAATATATTTATTCATACATACGTACATGCATGCATACATGTATTCATTATTTATACACACAAATTCATATATACGTTCACTGCCACCAAAGATTTTTCCTCAAATATTCTTCATGTTGAATAATAATTCCGTATGCAGAACCTTGGAGAACATATTGCTGAAGCCTGTAAGGAGCGGACAACACGCTGAGACGAGGATGAGCGAATGGTACCCCAACAGCCGCCGTTGCCTCCTTATATACACTGACTGAAGACTTAGCGGTACCCCCCTCCCCTGCCCCCACCCCGTGCCGTCTCTAGTACCTCCAACCCGCAATTAGTCTGTCGTGACATTGCTTTATCGCGGGACGTTTGTAGGGCAGGTGGAGAGAGAGAGAAAGAGAAAAAAGGGGAAGACAAATAGACAGACAGACAGAGAAAGGGTGGGGGGAGAGAAAGAGAGGGAGACAGACAGACAGACAGACGGACATACAGACAGACATAAAGAAGAAAAGGGAGAGGAGCGAGAGAGGGAGGAAGGGAGGAAGGGAAGCGGGAGGGGTGTGGGGGTAGTGATAAGCAAACCTACTAACGGAAAGTAGAAGTGTATTGTTCAGGGGCAAAAATATCGGTCACGATGACTTTCTCGTTTGAAAGCTGGCGGATTTTCCTTTGGAAGAAGATTCCAGTTACACGACCGCAATGTCAAGGAGAGACACGAGTGGGAAATATATCAGTAATAAGCGAAAACATTTTACACTTTCTTTTCTACTCGTAAAATATAACGTATATATTGATGGGATGGGATACATGGGTATCTCATAGTAGATGATATACACTGATACTAGTTACATTTTGTAAAGATCGTTTTATATATATATATATGTATATATGTATGTATATGTGTGTTTGTGTATCCAAGATTAAAACATTTTGATGCTAACGAAATACGCTAAGTCTAAGGGAAAATGAAGCTGAGATTTATCCAGCGTGGGCAATGTGAGGCGAATCAACAGTGAGGCAACCGCCGTGTTTGATGTGCACCGTCGCTCAGTCAACAGTGTTTGTACAAGGCTACTCCAGAGCGCCGTGTCCTTTCACAGGCCGTATGACAGCGCCGATACCATTGGCAGGGAGAAAAATTACCCTTCCAAGCCTTCCACAACTTCTTACGTCGTCCCTTTTGATTTTTTTTCCTTCTTTCATAAAAATATCCTTTTATTTTCTGTTTTCATAAGGCTCTGGCTTCCCTTCATGTGTAGTTACTTCGTACTCCTCTTCCTTATCCCTCTCCCCTTTCTAATGATCTTCTTCCTCCTTATCATTAACATCATCAACATCATTCTCTTCTTTCTCCTTTCCCTTCCTCCCTCCTAGATCCTCTTCCTCGTCCCCCCTCCACCTCCTCAGCCTGTTTTGCGAAATTATGTCTTCTATCGGCATTATGTCTTTGTCCCAAGGAACGAAGGGAGGAGAGAAGACACAAAGGATAATGAGGTTGGAGTAGGAAGGTGAAGCCGATACTTTTTTTTTAATTTTTTTAGGGGGCTTATAAGGGAAATTATGAGATAATTTATGATGGAAATAACATTATTTATTATGAGGAGGGTATTATCTGTTCAGAAGATCGTGTTATGTATAGGGGTTACACGTAATGGAAATATTGAGGAAATATGGAGGATAAAAACAAGAGGGAAAAGGAACAAGCAAAATTAATATGTAGAAAATATCGAGGGAAGAAGACACAGGCAGGTAATTGCACACCAGGGAAAAGATAGAAAATGAAACTGATGCTGATTATGATAAACGAGAAGTCATATAGAAAAGGAAAGAGAATCGACGAAGGGAAGACTTCCTGGCAGTAAATGGCAGACAGGGAGAGATGCTCCCACCCCCCAGAAAAAAAATGATAATAATAAAAACTTGTCTTGATTGATGACACTGGCAATGCCCAAGCGGAAACAAAACCGAATGATGTTTGAAAGATTGACTCTTAAGATAAATAGTTTATGGATACAAGTAACACGAGATATTATGAATTTTATAACCTGAAAGTAAGAAATAAATAGTTTTTTTTTAAATCCGAGAGATGACTAGTTTATGAAATAATGATACTTTAGAAACAAATTATTCATGAAAGGATGTAATGAATATTTATGGTATGAATCACTTGTGAAAAGTGGAGATGAATAAGTAAGGAAGAGATATGGTAAACCTATTTATTGTTTTGATTCGCCAGAAATGGTAAATGTTTTTTTCGCCACAGCACAAATAGACATGTAATTAGGCGAGTAGATTATATTAAGTACATTGTAAGTTGATTATATTCGACACTTTATTTTGCTTACTATTTATTGTTCTCTTTATGGAGTTCGATTAATGACACAGTGTTCAGAGGGCAATTAGTAATTACTTGATTCCCAGATAAATTATTAGATTACTATATTTGTGAAATGCTACATTTTCGAGATACGGCAATGTAGACGCTAGTATCATCTTCTCTAAGCGAAAAAGTACAATACCGCTGCCAGCATCTGTTGAATATGTATATAAATATGTTTGTGTGTGTGTGAGAGTATTTTTTTTACCTCTCTCTTCTCTGTTTTCTTTTTTCTTCTCTCTCTCCTTTTTTTTTTTCTTTTTTCTTTTTTTGCTAATTAGCAATAGTCCGCGAGGGAAAACTATTTTAACAAGTTTTACGGCCAGATAATAAGATCGCGAAGCGGAGCGCGGACAGCTTCCGGCGTGAGCGATTTGCACATGAGCTCCCCGAGGACAGGAAGGCGTCATGGGCATGCTGAGTGCTGCTGACTGGGAGGAGTTAATGATGGGATGTGATTGCTTTCGGGCACAGGTTTTCTCGGGAATTTTCGTGACGGAACTATTTTTCGCGCTCCGTTTAGTCGAGGGTTGCCATGGCAAGTACATGGCGCGTGAATGCTTCCATGCTCGCTCTTGGCGAGAGCTGTCGGGGTCTGCTGAGGGTTAGTTAGCCTTTTCTCTATTCGTTGGTGCCTTTTTCTGGCCTCTTTCTGCTTTTGTTTAATATGATTTTTTGTTCTCTATTCATTTTTTCTTAGGTGAAATGGCCTCTGTATCTAAATTCTCTTCAGGTAAACAAATACACAATCTTCAGTATAATACCCATGTCAGTCCTCCCTTTTATTAATGTATGTGTATATATGTTGGTACACAAACACACACACACAAGCGCGCGCACACACACACACACACACACACACACACACACACACACACACACACACACACACACACACACACACACACACACACACACACACAGCGAGAGAGAGAGAGAGAGAGAGAGAGAGAGAGAGAGAGAGAGAGAGAGAGAGAGAGAGAGAGAGAGAGAGAGAGAGAGAGAGAGTAAAGAAGAGCGGAGCGGAGAAAAAAGTAGTATAGGAATTGAAAAGTATAGGATTGGGGAAAGATGGAGAAAGGGAGAGGGAGAGAGAGTGTAAGAGAAAGAGAGAGTATGTGTGTGTGGAATAGGGAGATTTATTTTTATAGAATCGTTCTTTATATCGTAATAATTAGGCAAGAGAAAGTGGCGGGCGAGAGGGAGTCTCCAGGAGCGTGGAGAATCCCCCCATTGAATTAGTTCTCCGACAGAGATTAAGGCTTATCTAGCATGACATAGTGGAATTAAGGCTGAATTCATACTGTACGAAGTTTCGACGGTAAGAGTTTTGATGTACACGTTCAACGAGTGAGAAGTAGAGCGAGCTAGTTTCTATCTAAAGCGAGAAAAGTGCGGGGAAAATGGACTCGAACTTCGGTAGAGCAATTAGAGTAGCGTGATAGAAAACTGGAAGAGTGCTAATGTCCCGGTTATTCGTAAATTCTTTCCTTGCCGCCACTCTTCCTGATATCCTCACACACTCAAACGCGCGCGGACACGCACACACGCACGCGCACACGCGCACGCACACGCACGCACGCACGCACGCACGCACGCACGCACGCACGCACACACACACACACACACACACACACACACACACACACACACACACACACACACACACACACACACACATACACACACTCTCTCTCTCTCTCTCTCTCTCTCTCTCTCTCTCTCTCTCTCTCTCTCTCTCTCTCTCTCTCTCTTCCTGCCTCATTTTTCTGCTTACATCCATCAGCGGAGCGCCGAAAACCGCGGCCGGGAATTGCTACCTGACCTTATGCCGGTCAGTCAGTCATGGCCGGAGTTTCGCAAGCTTTTGGTAAGAGGATGGCAATGGCAGAGGGACTTTAAAGGTCCGGGGACTCGCGGGAGATGAAGTCATGGAGTAGAGGGGGACGTGAAGAGGAGGTGGATGTAAGTAACGAGAGAGGAAGAGGAGGTGGAAGTAGAAGAGGAGTCTGGGAGCAAGGAAAGGGGGATAGAGAAATGCTTTTGGCTCGCCTTTGTCTGAGATTGATGGTCATATGGGGTGAGGGGAGTTCCTGGTCAGCGAGCCATCGGTGCGGAGCGGGGCTGGACTCGAAACGCCGTTCGACGCTCCATTCCGAAAGGGTTCCGCAGGATTTTTCCCGTGTATCGCGGGGCGGCTGTGATAGGAAGTGAATTTTTCCTCTTTTTGTACTCTATCCTCTTTTTAGTTTTATAGGATTCCATGGGAGGGTAAAACGGGCTGGATAAAAGGGAATTTGTGACTTTGTGTTTGCTTGTTCGTTGTTTGTTTGTGTGTGTGTGTGTGTGTGTGTGTGTGTGTGTGTGTGTGTGTGTGTGTACGTATACATGTATTGCGTTTCTTGCCGGTGAAATTTGAAGTTATTTACATGTAGTACTTCCCCAGTCGGTCACTACAGGCCACGAGGTGTTGTCTCTAATTTCGTGGCTGACGTGGCCTGACGTAACCCTGTGGGAAGGCTTCTCCAGTCTCATTAGGCAGCCGCTGACGCTCGTAAGTTTATGGGCTGACACTGAAATTTGGGCGAAAAGTGGTATTTTCTGCTGAGTAATGAGTGGTAAGTATGATTTCTTTCACCTTTATTATTTCTTATTATTATTATTTTTATTTTTGGCGACTCTGATTATGGATTTTTTCTGTTGCCGCGCGCAGACATTCGCATGTATATGCACAGACAGATATGAATACAGGTATAAAAATTGCTGTAACCAACTATGTAAGAGCTACATGTAGATAGACCAATGTGAATATAGATGGAAATGTGGTGTTAACCAACTGTGTAAG